GCATGGTGCTCTGCTGCTGGCTGGGCCTAAAGCACAACAACCTATCAGATTATAAACCCCTCCAAGTACTGGTTCTCTACAAATACAGGGCTTACTCAAAGAAAGGTCAAATTCAAGTAACACCTGGTACCTAAATCTTGCAATTTGAAGTGCTGAGACTTAACTGTCAGGCTCAACTTTGAACACAGTCTTTTGCACAAAGTTGTGCCAACTCTACTGTCATGTCACATGCGCATAAGTTTCTATGGTGAGTACCCATGAGAGTAGAACACTACTCAGCAATTCACTCAGTTTTCAAACAAGATCTTCTGTGCTTCCAGCTATCTCCATGAACAAGAGCAACAAGTCTGCCAAGCTTGCAAAGGTGAGGCAGAAGCAGTGTACCTGAAAGATGTCAAAACAATAGGTCTTTCCATCAGACCCGAGTACTGGCTACCTCCCAAGCTAGAGGGGAAAAAACAAGGGCCAAGGTAAGAACATAGACACAAACAAATACTATGGGACAATGATAACAGCTGTCCCTCTGCAGGTAGAAGATACCTCAAATTACCTGTTACGCTCATAACTTCTGTGATGAGGCGACAACCTTCCTCTGTCATAATCTGTCCGGTGCCGACTGCTTTCCTGCCTCCTCCTATCTGGACTCCGGCCTCGATCCCGACGATCTCCATGGCTAGTGGACCGATGCCTGTCACTGTGGATATGACTGTGTTCACGATGTCGGTGCTCATCGTAGTGCTTGCTCCTCTCTGGAGACCGTCGATCACTTTGCGACTTCTCTCCCTGGTACTGACCCGTGTGCCGAAAATGGCTGCTGCTGCCACTGCTGTTGGTAGCGCTGCTCTGAAAGGAGGCAGTGTTGTGCTGATAGCTATTGAAGTTCGGTGGTGGGAAGGATTGCTGTGAATAGGCTGCAGAGTACACAGGCTGGTAGTTGACTTGCTGCGGTATGACTGGTGGGGGAGGAGGATGCGGTACTGTGGGAGGAGGCATCAGGTAAGGAAAGGTGCTTTGCCCAGCAGGAGTTCCTGGCACAGGAGTGGCACTAGGAGTTGGCACTGGTGGAGGAGCAGGAGGGAAGCACGGAGGCACTGGGAAGCTCTGCCTTATCTGGTGGTTTGGAAATGGTGGCCTCATCGGACACTGGCTGATGGGATTTTGTGTGGAAGGGGGCACTGGAGGAGGATAGGGCACGAAGTCTGGCCTGGGAGGCATATAACTGGTGGTTGGAGGGTTTGAATAGGTTGTTGGAGGGGCAGGTTGCTGGTCATACTGGTATTGTACGGAGGGCTGTTGCGGGTGAAGCTGCCGTAGGTTCTGAGGGCGGTAGGTCTGTGTTGAAGTTCTTGCTCCTGGTCCCCCCTGAGCACGGGGACATCCTCGCCCGGAATGGAAAGACATGGCTCACCTTTAATGAGGAAAATAAAAGTCCAGTGTCACACAATTTTTGTAGGATGTCCTTAATGCATTTGCAGGAACTACTCTCGAAGCGCTGAAATTAGTTTCTGCAATCTCCTTTGAGAAAAGCAGTGAATGATGCCCGTTGTCTTTCACTGGGAGCTTTGTGCTCCTCAGACCTCTAGTACAGGTCACTAATGCCCCTTTAATTTCTTTAAGCCTCTAAACCATGAAAGCACTCTACCGTTTTTAATCCAGAACCTAAACTGGACAACGCTCTCTGACTTAGGGAAATGTGATTTATATGACAACTGGCCAAGGATACAAGCACTTCTACTAGTACTCACTAGACACTGATATAAAGCCTTCAGATAGCCCACACCAAAGAAACTGCTCATTTTAACAACTGCAATTGTCATCCAAAGCCCCATAATGAGGAGTCTTTTCTAGAACGTGATTCTAAACTTCAGGCAGAATGACTTTACTAAAACCTCATTGCAAGTTACCCTGTTCAACAAATCATGTAAGTTTTAAATGAGATAGTAGCAATTTACATTGACAACTGAGATCCCAATTTAGTAAAGGACTGAGTTCAACAGATACTTCGAAGTATTACTTAGGTATATTTTTGTGGAATGAGAATCTTACAGGTTACAGACAAAAATTTTAGGTAGACTGTGCTGTTACTTCAATTTCATTTCATGGTTCCCAAAAAATCCCTCATCTGCCTGCTTGGCCCTGTTACCTTTCCAGCAATTGGCACTGCTTCAAGTAGGCTTAAGTCTTGCACAAAACTATGCATGTATTTAATGGGTTGTATTAATGTTTATAAATGAAAACCACTGTGCTTTGTTAGAGTTAAAATTCATTCTTTAATTACAGCATTAATTTTCAAAAACTGGAAAAAAGTCAAAAACATCCAAATCCTGTTTTCCATAAGGGGGAGGGAGAGAAAGAAAGGAGTCACACACCTAATTGAAAAGATCACCAGATAAGGAAAACAAAGCCTCCCTTTTACTGAGGTTTTGTCGATGCCGAAGTACATGCACAGAATATTCTCCCACCTGCTACCATGAACCATGGCCAACCTGGACTACTAAGAGGGCCACTTTCAGCTGCATTCTGGTGCCAGTGCTACAAAAGATGTAGCTTGCTGAGAGGCAGCAGACGACTTCCAGTGAACCAGCAGGGAAAAGACAAGAGAAATGAAGGAGGAAACAACAGGAGCCTATATCTGTCCTTACACACGCAGGGCTTAGTGGAAGCCACTGGAATTGGTGGCAGTAGCATTCATTGTCTCAAGACCAACCAGACAAAGGCCAAACTAAATGAGAATCCTGCATTTCTAGGATGTAGCAGCCACAATGGTAAAGCCTTCCTGTGCCTGCTCAGTACCATCCAACCTTACCTTGTAAAGGCTCTCAAAAAAAAGGAGGGGGGAGAGAGTTAATTTCCATTATTTTGTTTGGCAATAGTGCAATCTTTTATCATTACTAATTCTAATCCATAGTATGCTGAATCAATTTTGCTTTAGTTGTCTGGTCATGATCTCACATAGCTCAGACTTATAACAGAAAATTGTTCTATATTTTGCTGACATATACATATACATTTTATTTAAACAAGCTGAGCTAGACTGTTATTACCTCAAACAAATTAAAGCAAAGCAAACGCCACTGAACCACAATGCTTTGCCTTAAAGCACATTTCTTTTTTAACATCATAGAATTCAAACAAAAGGTCTAGTCTATCAGTTCTCTCGAAGATAGAGCTCTAAGACTTTCCCAACACCAGAGAACTGCTCTTGTTCTACCACTTTAATTTCACTGCTTCAGAATGCTGAATCACAGCTGAAAAAAATTCAGAAAAGGATATGTGAAACTATTTTAAACACTCAAATTATTTTAAAGCTCACTCTGCTACAAACTTTGGTCCCGTTCAAAAAACAGTGTAAAGGACAAACTCTCCTTTTCCTGTCACCTAGAAAAAATTTATTGTGCTGGTGGAAGCCTTCACACACACAAACAAAACACCCACCGAAAAAAAACTCTTCTCTCCCTGTAGACACAGCTGAGGGCAACAGGGCACTGAGAACAGGCCACAGCCAACCACCGCCTCCCAACGGTCTGTAACGGCCTCCAACGGCCACCGAAGCCTCGGCAGAGAAACACGGCGACGAGAGCGACCCCCGGCCGGGCGGGCTCTGCCG